GGCGGGCGGGGCGGCAGAGGAGCGCGCTCGCAGACCCGCGGCCAGGCCCGCGCACTTCGCGGGACCCGCCGGGGCTGGAAGGGATGCGGCCCGGGGGCACCGCCGGCCTCCCTCCGCGCCCTCCTGCCGGGGACGGCGCCGGCCGCACGCCCCTGGGGATGCGGGCAGGGCATGGGGCGGCGCCCGGCCCGGCATTGCGCTAACTCTGTTTCCTCTTGTTTTGTTCCCGCTGTTTTCCAAGGCATTGTCTGAACCTGTGAGGTTTGTTTCATGCCCTCCTAGAATTAATCCTTTTTTTTAAAGGAATGATTTTAATTTAATTAATTTATTTTTATTTGACCAGAGAGGGCAGAGTGAGAAAGAGAGAAAGCGGGAACCAGCAGTTAGCGTAATGGCTGTGTTGCTGGACTCCCACGTCGTCGACCGCGGTTCGAGTCCTGGACCTGGTGACTTAAACTCACTCCGAGCGCGAGTGCGTGCATGCCCATGATCCCCCCTGGGGGGTGATTTCTTGCTTTCTGTCTCTCTGTCTCTGTCTGTCTCCATACCCCCTGGGGGGGTGATTTCTCACTTTCTTTCTCTATGTCTCTGTCTGGCAAGCGCACGTGCCCTATAGCGGAAAAAAAAACTCTCAAAAAAAGAAAAAGAGAGAAAGCCACCAGATCCGGACTCGAACCACATTCGACCATGTGGGAGTCCAGCGCTCTTAGCCACCACACCACCCGCTGACCCCAATCCTGATATATTTCTTCTAATGCCCTTTCCATGGATCTTGTCCAATCTTATTTCTACATTCGTGGGTCCTTTCCACAATTAAAATCGCACAGGGGCGAACGGGTGGCGCTGGTTAAGGTGCTGGACTCCCACGTGGGCATCACTGTTCAGGCTGGACACTCATGGTGGGAACATGTGTCTGCATGACCAGGATCCCCAGAGGGGAATGGAGAAGGGATTGCGGTTTATCCCTGTCTCTCTGTCTCTCCTGTGAGCACAAGTGCCCTTAGTGGAAATCTCTCTAAAAAGAAAAATCCTCACAGTTATCCATGGGAAGCATTACCATCCAGATGGAAGTCTATCTTATCATCTTCAATGCAAAATATTCAAAAGAGAAGTCATCTCGAACTTTCCTTATTTTCTCTCATTCAATAAACCAACAGATAAGGAACCTTAAGAACAAGTAATGATGTATAGCTCTTAACCTCATGGAACGCCGGTCACCTGATGAGCCAAACCAGCCAAACAACTAAAGATAGTCAAGGCGGTATGTGTTATTGCCACACTTGTATGTGTTGGGGATTGTAGGGACCCAGTGGAGGAATTCCTTATTGAAGTTAGTCACTCCCTGCACTCCAGCCTACAAGCTAACCTCACTGTCAGCTGTTCATTTCATTCCCTCCACGTTGCTTCTGTCCGCTCTGCGAGTCTGGAGCATCTTTGATTTTCCAGTGTGTGTTCCCAGCTCTGGGGGAATATCTGCTACCATTCGGTGTCTCCCCACCTGAGAACAGTTAGGATATTCCTAGTGTCTCCATCAACACCGAGTTAGTGCTTCCATGTTCAGCGTTTACCGAGCACCTGGGATACACCTGTCACATATAATGTGGTTAATCTGAATGTTTTGTGTCCTTATGTGTCATTTCTTCTCACTTCATTTGCACACTAACCCTTTTGGAATGCAGACTGCCCAGGGATGCCCCGTACTGACCTGTCGGCATGTCCAAAGGCAGGACCCAGGAACGTGTCCTCACAGGCTCCCACCCGGTGACTGGCCAGCAAGCCCAGCCCTGTGCAATTTCTTGTGACCCTCTATTGTACTACTTCACTCAGTGCTTTGCTTGTGAAAGATAATTTTCTTTTTCCTTTTCTTGCTAGAGGGCACCTGCACTAAAACCTGACCACTCGGTGTTTTCTGCCAGAAAGCCCAGTCTTTTGCCTTTCTAATGAGTGTTTTGTCTTCCCACTTCATGTTCCTTTGCCTTTGTAATTCCATTATACAACCTGCTGAGTGTTTTGTCTTCCCACTTCATGTTCCTACCATTCACTAGTTGTTCACACTGTTTGCCTGCTCGTAATTTCCTATTTCTCTCCCCTATTCCAGTCAAGTCTTACACGTTCTTTTCTTTTTTATTCAAGCTGCTGGGTTTGGGACTTGAAATGCAAAGTTGGCCAAGTGGGATCCATCCACCTTCACCATGCCACCTGCTGGCCCCCTTTCCCATTTTATTTATTTATTTATTTTTAAAGTTAGACATGTGCACTCACCAATGAGAAAAAGACAGAGAGGGAGAATGGTAAATCACTCCACTGGGGTGATGACCACATCACACTCCCTTCTCCATTCTCCTCTTGGGATTTGGGGCATGCACCCAGTGTATTTGGTGTGTTCTTCAGGATTCGGGCAGGACTTGAACTGTGGGATCAGCCATGTGCGAGCCAACTTCTTGACCACCACACCACCTGCTGACTTTAATTTATCTTATTTTTAACTTAAATTTTAAGCTCTGTTGAAGTAGAAATCACATAATGGTTGTATTCCACAGAGTAGATATGCCAGACAATAAATGTCCTGTAAATTTTTACATAATGGAGAATGATGATTTTTATTATGTGGTCTTTCATCGTCCTAGACAATAATAGTAATTTTTGATTTCTCAGAGTTCTTGAAACTAAAGAAGACCCATCTCAAAGCATAAGTGAGGTTTCTGATTGTATTCAAAGATGACAACAGGATCAAAGAAATCCACAGCTCAGAATTTTCCAGAGAATGAAGGACTTCTAATAGTGAAGGTGGAAGAGGAAGAGTTTATCTCAAAGCAGGACACTTGCTTACAGAAAAGCGATCCCCTCAAGCAGGAGCTTGCCCGGCAACTTTTTAGGCAGTTCTGCTACCAGGATTCCACCAGCCCCCACGAGGCGCTGGCCCGGCTCCATGAGCTCTGCAGACAGTGGCTGCGGCCCGAGGCCCACAGCAAGGAGCAGATCCTGGAGCTGCTGGTGCTGGAGCAGTTCCTGAGCATCCTGCCCCGGGAGCTGCGTGCCTGGGTGCACGAGCGGCACCCCGAGAGCGGGGAGGAGGCGGTGACTGCGCTGGAGGAGCTGGAGAGAGGCACTGATGAAGCTGTTCTCCAGGTGCTTAGGGGCCGGGAAAGCTAAGACTTCCAGAATGGAGGTGCTCCACCAGGGAGGGAAGTCCCTAGACTGAGCACCGAGGAGCCCTGCAGGAGCTCGCCATTCAGTCAGCTCCCAGGTCCCCTTCCTGACTGGTTCCGCACCATTTCATAGCTGATTCAGACTGGAATCCTCGTCCAGTTTTGTATTCCTACAAGCTTTTTGTGGTTAGGTGTTTAATTCCAGTACACATTGGCTATAACCCAAATGTACTTTATTCTTCTCAGGTTCCAGCCCACGAGCATGGACAGGAAATACTTGGGAAGAAAGTGTCACCTGGACCAGCACTTGGTGTCCCGCTCCAGCCAGTGGAGACCGGAGTCCATTGTGGTTCATTAGAACCCCCGCTCCTAAGAGGCTGTGGTAAGTGGCAAGATGCCATGCAGTGCATGTCACTGAAAATGTTGGAGAGTGACTGTCTCCTCAAACCAGCCCTGGTTCCTATAATTGGTCCTTTTCTTTATTACCCAGTGAAAAGTATGTAACTTGTTTTCCTATGGATCTTGGCCAGTTGGAGAGAAAAAGGCAATTTTATTCTTACCTTGCATAGTTCCAAAACACAGGGTATTTTTGTGTGATGACCAAAGTAAGGGAAAGAAAAATGAGTTGAAAAACTATGAATGAGTCATAAAAAGAGAAAAAGGCAAAAGTAGAAACACATGGACAGAAATAGACATGTAACAGAGCAGTACATGTGGAGGCAGGGACAGAGGTACATGGTGATAGGACGTGCCCTGGGTCCACATTGTCGCCTTTTTGTCCTACTCTTGGTCTGATGAAAGCTCTTTTATGCTCTATAGAAAGTTAGCCATAGTTCTAGATCGTGCCTTCATAGCATACTCATCTGTATTCTAGCATTTGTCTATTTAAAAGGCTTGTAGATAAAGTATACTAGGTATGAGTGGTCCCAGTAATAAACCCATTAAGTAACTGTTGCAGTTTAAGAAATTACTACAGATTTGCTTTATGGTTTGTTCCAGATACATCTGCATCTACCCCACATAAAGTTGTAAGCCCCCTCACCCCAGAAGCAGCACTTCGGAGCTGCCTTTCCCACCCGAGCTTGACTAGACAAAGGAAACCCCAGGGCAGAGAGGCCACCGAGCTCCAGCGTAACAGTCTTACAGTGTGCAGAGGTGCGCTGGGCAGTAGGACTTGTGAGGACCATTTCAAAAAGGTCCTGGAAATCGCCTCGAGAGCTTAGATCTGGAAGAAAAGCAGTGGAAGGTTTCTGAGCAGGGTTTGAAAGGATAACAGTGTTCAATGACTATCGGTCTCGTAGAGATACTTAGGGTGACTAGAGAGAACAGCTAGGAGGCCTTTATGGCCACTGACAGGCAGTGTCAGGGCTCTACACCACAGTGTTGGTCACCAAAATGTAAAAGAGGGGGCGTGTGTCGGGGTCAGTTGGAGACGGTGGTGGTAGAGCTTGAGGTTGACTGGCCATGAGGTTCAAAACAGGGATGGTGGATAGACAGACAGTCCCCATGCGCACTCACCTCACTCCTGTAGAGCTGTAGTCTCCTCTGTGTCCTCATCTGCCTCCTTAAAACGGGCACCTCTGGGAACCAGCAGTTAGCATAATGGCTATGTGGCTGGACTCCCACATAGTCGACCGCGGTTCGTGTCCTGGACCCGGTGGTTTAAAACCCCCGCCAGGCATGAGTGCGTGTGTGCCCAAGATCCCGAGAGGAGAATGGAGAAGAAGGGATTGCGACGTGACCATCCCCCCTGGGGGGTGATTTCTCGCTTTCTGTCTCTATGTCTCTTTCTGTCTGTCTGGCAAGCGCACGCGCCCTATAGTGAAAACCTCCCAAAAAAAAAAAAAAAAAAAAAAGGGCACCTCTCTCTCTCCCTCAGTCCAGCACTGTGAATATTCCCCAGTGTACCCTCGGTCAGCTTACACAGTTCCTCCTCCTCACCCTATCTCCCACCCCATGGCCTTTCTTGGTGGTGACGACTCTCCTGCCAACCTTTGTGTCAGCTGCTCGTCCTCAGATGTCTGCTTCCTCTGTGCCAACCCCCGCATGCATTGCTAGCTTTTACTGTTTGCTAAGTGTTCTTGTCCATTGCTCCTGTCATGTGTAAGCCCGTGTATTTAGTCAAATGAAGTATCAAAAGGTTTGTAGGGCCACACTCTTGAGTGTACACATTTTCTTTTCTTCCAGCCCAGCAAATAGGTGATGTTTATCTTTCTTTTCTTATTATTTTAGATGATGAGAGTGAAAACAGCAGATCTGTGCCAAAACTGGACACTCATGAAAAAATGAAATCACAGAGAATTATGTCAGGAAGAACCTCAGGACACACGTCAGAAGGATCTGATGAGCCTCCAGCCGCCTCTGCATTTGCCTACAGGGTTAAGAGGCAAAGGGAGAATAAACCCGGGGAGTCTGGAATCCCTGCTCAGGGTGGAGGTTTTGGTAAAATCCTCACCCACAAAAATGGACTCACAGGGAAAGCAGTAAGACGTGACAGATATGAAAGAAGCCTGAATCTGAACTCAGATGAATTCACACACCAGGAATCTTGTAGACGTGGCACCTCTGATCAGAGCTTCACATGGAATTCAGATTTTATTAAGCATCAAAGAAATTGTGCTGGAGAAAAAATTCACCAATTTGAAAAATCTTTCAAGAACTCAAACTTCATTAAACATGTAGCAGTTTTCAGTGGAGAGAAAACCCATCAGTGTAATGAGTGTGGGAAAGCTTTCAGACACAGCTCAAAGCTCGTAAGGCATCAGAGAATCCACAGTGGGGAGAGACCCTATGAATGCAATGAGTGCGGGAAAGGCTTTCGAGGAAGCTCAGATCTCATTAGACATCAGCGAATTCACACTGGAGAAAAACCCTTTGGCTGCAAAGAGTGTGGGAGAGCATTCAGCCTGAACTCCCATCTGATCCTGCATCAGAGAATTCACACCAGAGAGAAGCCCTACGAATGCAGTGAATGTGGGAAAACCTTCCGAGTAAGCTCACATCTGATTCGACACCTGAGAGTCCACACTGGAGAGAGACCCTACAAGTGCAGTGAGTGTGGGAAAGCCTTCAGTCAGAGCTCACACCTTAGTCAACATCAGAGAATCCACAAGAGGGAAAACCTGTTAATGTAGGAAACCAAAATTCATACATAAATTCTAAGGAAATAACCGAAAAACATTAGATAAAAATGAATATTGGGCGAGACAATAAACTGCAAGACCAGTGTCTCTCCTCTCATTTCCATATTTGCTGTTGTATGTGTGGTCTCCGTCTCTGTACTTTCTGGGCATTTGGGGATATGCCTTTTCCATTGACTGCCAGAGTCAGACTAGAGGAGGGCCAGCATGGCATAGTGGTGAAGGTGGCTGGATCCCACATGGCCAGCTGAGTGGTTTGAGTCCCAGCCCCAGTGACTTGAGAAACACATGGGTATACACACCCAAAATCCTGAGTGGAACAGAGAAGAGAAGGATGGCAGTGTGGCTATCCTCCCTGGGAGCTGCTTCCTCATGTTCCCTCTTGGTCTCTCTCTCTAGCACATACACACACCCTCTAGCAAAATTTTATAAGTAAATAAAGTCAAGGATTTGGGGGAGGCTAATAAATAGGTTATGGCAGTGGGATAGCAAGAATCAGAGACTGTCTTGTAAAATAACCAGTTATAGTGTGGGGAAGAAAGAATTCAGGAAAAGATCATTAGCCTTCATTATTTCTCCTGGTTGTTTATCTACGAGATGAGGTAGCTGAGCCCAGCAATGAAATAGCTTGCACAATGTACTGCAGAATTATGTCTTCAGGCATTCTTTTTTAAAAATGAAGACCACAAAACCAAATTAGATGGTCATGTCAAATTTGTAGGGTCACGTCAAGCATAGTAGGCCAGGTTTGCAGAGGTCATGCCAGGAAGTTAACAACAACAGGGAGCAACCAAAGCAGCAGGCCAGAATGAACATGGCTGCTGGCGATTGTCGGAGGGCAGGATCTGAAGGACTAGAGGGATGGTTTCTGCAGTAGACAGAAGATCTGATATTTCAGGTTATAAAGGTAAATTCTGCTCTACTGCTTTTACCCGTGTGGTGAGGCACATTTTCTTCTCTGTTTTTTTTTGTTTTGTTTTGTTTGTTTTTTAAGCTTTTGCCATAGGGCATGTGCACTTGCCAGAGAGAAAGAGACAGATGGAAAATGAAGACTCACTCCCTAAGGGGGATGGCTGGTCTGCAATCCCTTCACTCTTGGGATTTTAGGTCCAGGACTTGAACCGCGGCCAGCCACGTGGGAGTCCAGCACCCCAACTTCCATCCCCCTTGCCAATCCCAAGGCACATTTTCTTCTGAGAATTATAATAAAAGTAATTATGTGAGGTTTAGTCATTTCACTGCATATAATGTTTTTAAAGTATAAAATGTCAGGGCGCGTGCGGTTGCTGGAGGGACAAAGAAATAGTGAGAAATCACCCTGGGGTGGGAGGGGGCTGGCCGCGGCGCAATCCCGTCCCCTCTCCGCTCTGTAAACCGAAGAACTTCCCAAGCCCGCGGCGCTAAGGCCCCCAGTGCGCGGTGCAGTCGCGGCGCACTCGGCGGGCTAGAGCGGAGGGGGGGGG